AGCACACTGTTCCTGCTGGATGAGGCTGGACCGGTCCGTGGTCTGTCCGTGGTAATGGTGACCGCGGCCCCTTGTCAAAGGCAACTTTTTGGTACAGTATCTTTGGAGTAAGCATCTTGGCAGACACCTGGGATGCTAAAGCACACCACACACTCACATCAGAAAATGATGGTCTCTTCTCTGGATGCACAGCTGTATTGCTTATGGAGTAAAAACACTCTTATGCACCAAAATCACTTAGGAATTTTCGGTGAATTTTTCTGTATAAATTCTCCACCAAACCAGAGATCTGACTTGGAGCCAGTGTTGTAGTTGAGCGAGAGAAGCAATCAGGTGGGACCCAAGTCAACACTGGGCCCTAGCTAATTTACTTTTTCAGCCTTAGGAGTGCCTAATGATTATGTCAAATCAGGAAGAGGGCAGAACTGTTAAACCAGCCAATCGACCATGGCTTCTCCAAGTCCTAAACAAAGATAGGAGAAGATCAAACTGCAGTTAGGAATTCTCCAGGATGAGTACAAAACTGGGAAAAGTCCCAGAAGGTAGATTTTGGCCCAAATGGTAAAATTTTTTTCCAACTTCCTATGCATGTGCGAGCATGGTTGTGGCCAGTGTGAGCACAGCTGTCACCTGCATTGACATTGGGAGGCCTAATACAGCTCTTGTCCAAGAAAGGATGCCAAAAAAAATTTATTTTGTTTTAAATGCCCTTCAGACCTATGTATAGGTAGGGGCACCAGCTTCCAGCTTGTTCTTGTTCCAGTCTTGTTTGTACAAGACTAACCCTGTGTAAACAGAGCTGTGACCAAACCTTCCAACCCACAGGGACAGGAATAAAGCCTCTGTGTCTGAAACACCTGCTCACTCCCTGCCAGCACTAACACACCTCTTCCCTGCAAGGGTAAAGATTAACCCAGGCCACAGTCAGAGTTAAAGGTGGTTATTTCAGCACTGCAGACAAAGGTCAGGCAGGTCAGTGGGACAGGACAGGAAAAACAGGGAAAGAGCGGGGGGAAAAAAAGCAGGGGATGTTGTTTGCATTTGCAGTACAGAAACACTGACAGATGGAGAAGGGAGTCAGGCCAGCAGGCAGATCCAGTCTGCTTGTACAACAGGATAGGAAGCTGGATATCTATTTGGGAGAGAGTTTGTGGGGTATAGGTGGGTGAATGTGATAGTCTGATTCTGATGAGCATTGTAAAGGTTAACACAGGGCTGCCAGGAATAGAGACCAACCCTGGGCACCTCCTCCCTGAGCTCCCACAGGCACGGAGGAGTCAGCACACGGAGAAGGGCCCTGCTCCATGCTGGCTCACAGGGATGGGTCACGATGTGTTGGGGACCATCCCATAGGCTTCATACAGCTTGTTGAGCAGCTCCTGCTTTTCCTTCTCAGGTAAGAAGCTGGACTGGGCTGCGTTGATGTTCTGGGGAAGAAGAGGGGGAACACAAGAGAGACATTAAAACACATCAGACGTGAACATCTGGTTCTGAGCAGCAACAGGTGAGGGAGAATGTAAAGTTTCCACTCTCAGATTTATTTATTTCCATGGCCTTGTTTTACAGGGCAACTGCTCTGGCCCATCACTAGAGCAGTCCCAAGAGGAATGAGACAGGCACAAAGCAAATACTTTAAAGTCTTTAAATACTTTGGGATTTTTGGGATATGCACTTCAGACCTGCTCCTACTTTCCTGACTCCCCTTCAGAAAAGAGCCTCTCCTGACACAGCCATGGTGGCAGCCTGATGGGACACAGCCTGGCTCTCCAGTTCAGTCTGGTCACCTGTCTTGTGCAGGGACTTTTATTACACAGGAACAACATGGCTTTTGCAAGAGTAGGAGAGGACAGCTGTGGATCCAGGATCCCAGAGCTCACAGCTGTCCCTGTTCCTCCTTCCAGACCCAGAGAGCAAGGTCAGTAGGAGAAAGGGATTTGTTCCACCAGACAGAGTTGAGAGGAGGTCTGATGCTCCTGCTCTTCCCAAGTCAAGTATCTTCGAAGACATGTAGGTGGAATTGCTCACCAGGACTTGACTCAAACCAGGAAGGTTCACTTGGTAACCAGGTAAGTCAAACCCCCAACAGTTACCCTGTCTTTCTGTCATGGGTGGATAATTAGAAAATCAAGGATGTAAGCAAGAAACATAAATGGCTGTGTGTGTCAAAACATTGACCAGCAGTCATTTTGTTTCTGGCTCAGTTGTTGCATCCTCATGCTGTAAGTGGAAGAACTGCAAGCACTTTCGTACCTGCTGAATCTTGCTCATTCCTGGGCCAGGCCTTGAAATAACTGACCTGCAGTTCCAAATACAGGGGAAAAAAAGAAAAAAGCAAGAGGCACCTTCCTTTCCTGCTGCTCAGACCTGCTGTGAGACCTTCAGAGGACAATTTCCACTCTGACTGAGGCAGTCAGCCTGGGAGATGCAGCCCCTCAGAGCCCACCCTGTGCCCACACCCTGCTCCCCCACAGTGCTCCAGAACCCCCTCCAGCCAGCTCAGCACCCTCTCAGCCTCCTGCTTACAAGGTCAGGGCAGTATTTTTTGATTTCCATTAAAAATTCTTCATCTCATAAAGAAAAACCGGCAGGTTGTTCTGGGCTGCACCAGGACAGCATCAGAGCACCCAGCCGGGGCTGACTCACAACTCTCTTGAACTCCTCTTCGGTGAAGCCCATGTATTCCTTGACTATGCCATAATCCTTGTCAATGGTGGAGTTAAAGATGAGGGGGTCATCCGTGTTTAGAGAATAGTTGGCACGATCCTTCTTAAATCTGTAAGGAAATGGGGTTGAAGTGGTGGGTAAAGCACTGGATGTGACACTGTGCAGTTCTCAGGGTGAAACGCAGTAAAAGCAAAGACCTCGGAGCTGTCCCTGAAGCTGGAACTGCTGAAGATAGACATGGAGCGTGGTTTCTGTCCCCACAGCTCTGCACTGACCTGCCAGTAGTGGCTGGGGTGCAGCACCTCATGCCCCACAGCTCAGAGCAGGAAGGACAGGACAGCCAACCCAAGGGACCCCTGCACCCCTCCAGCTGCACCAGCTCCCCCCGGGCCAAAGGACAAGGATGTGCCACATTGTCCTACATAATTAGATGGGTCTTAGCTTTTTAAAGCAGTAAAGCAAACCAAATCCTGGTTATTTAAGATTGCATATAATTGAGAAGTCTTACTGTATTACGGGGTGTTTGGTGAAGTCCGGAGAACATGCTCCAGTGAGATAACTGGACCAAGGGCAGACCTGTTTGGGGGAGTTAAGCATGAAAAGCAGAATCAAGCATGCAGATCTTAACCCCAGGTGTGGACACAGATAGCTCAGCACACTGGTAAAGCCAGGTATAGGCTTAGAGCTTTGTTCACAGCTGCCCCTCAGTGCTACTCTGATGGACCAGTGCACGTCCCAGGACACAGGTGCAAAGAGCCCACAACCCACATGACAGCAGCAGGAGTCAGTGGGATGTTTCCCATGGCCAGTCAGTCACCAGCGATGTGCCAACCACAGCTAGGAAACCAATGCCATTAAGTATATACACACATATTCCATCTATTGGATATGACCATTCTGGGGAAAAGCCAAGGAAATCTGCACATGCACAGTAACTCTCAGGCATTTCCACCCTCTAACCAGACTTGCTCTGGTACAGCAGCCTGATTTGTGGAAGGAGGAGCCTGTAGACTTGAGGTATATAAACTAGTGAATATATATATATAATGGCCCATCTTCGTGAACGAAGATTTGGGGAAAGGTCTTTTACCTTTCCAGCCTGCGCAATGGATTTTTTTTTTTTTTTTAGGTGAGACACAGCCTGCGCTGAACTGAGCCCACCCTTTAATCCTAAGGTTCATCTGCCGGGGCCAAGCAAGCTTGGACAATGGCAGTGAGGTCCTCAGGACGTAGGTTTGTTTAGAGTGTCCTTCTCATAGATGGATGGCCACACAGTCCCTCCAGAATTTATCCTTGGCCATGCCAGAATCCATTTTTTCTGCTATGAGCCTCCCACAAGCTGCTGTGTGCACTGCTGCTCCTTGCAACAGGTTCCAGCAAACAGACAGGTGTCCCCACTGTTTCTGCTGTGGAGCTTTGAGCATCTGAGTTCAGTGCAATGTTACCATACGTGTGGTCAGCACTCGGGTATCAGGTCATGCCCCTGGCTGTAGCACAGCCCAAACAAGGGCTGGTTTTCCACTCAGACAGCAGCTGTCATGCTCCCACCACACATCCTTACCTCAAAATGCATCTTTGTTCTCAGCAGCTCCTTGTAGAGCTCAGGGTCCTCCAGGACATGGTATCCATGGCCAATGCGCTCGGCCTTCAGGACATAAACTGCCTAAAAAGAGCACAGGAGAACCACTCACAGCCTCTGAGCACCAGCTCGGCTCCTGCCTGCCCTGAGACCCCTGTCCCACCTCTGAGACAGCCCCCACCACTGACCCTGCTCTAGGATGGCCCTTTCCAGCCACTGTGCCATGTCCCCAGTGTTTGCTGTGCTGTGGCTACAGAGAGGGCTGGCACACCTCTCTCCCTGGTGCAGGGGATGCAGGGCCGTTCTCAGCCCTGCCCCTCTCTCTGCCCTGACTCGGGAACTCCTCGTACCTCCTTGACCATGGCAGCAGGTCCGACCTCCCCAGCATGGACAGTGCGGTGAATCCCACATCTCTCAGCTTCCTGCAAAACAAGGGAGAACATCTTCCTGTCCCATCACCTGCAGCGAGGGCAGCAAACCCCTGGGATGGCACAGCAAGCAACAGGGCTCTGTGCCAAGAGCCCACAGGTCACAGGCTCCGCACTCCAAGGGCTACAAGAGAAGAGCCACAAATGGAGACACTGAGAAATCCTGGTACCTTCTGCTGGAGCCCAGCCAGGCTCCTCAAGGGCTTTTTTGGGTGAGCTCATCACTGCCTCTTCTCCAGACAGCAGCAAGCTCCAAGCTCCCCTTCCTCCACCCACCTGTCCTTCTGCATGAACCTTGCAGCAGTTCCAGCCTGTGGAACTTCTACCTTTTTGGCCAGCTGCAGCCAGGTGGGGGAATTTAGAAGACCCCCCCAGGGCAGAGATGAAGAAATGCTCTGACACTGAGCACCTCCCTCCTGTAAGGGGCTGGGGTGGAGGCAGCCCAGCCGAGAGGACCCTGCGGATGCAGCTTTTGGTGCAGCTCCATGACCAACCCGAAAAATCCTTTGCCAGGGTGGCCCAGAGGCCACCTGGGCTTTGGGAAGCCATGCAGCCTCGAGGGAAGCCTGGCTGCTGGAGAAGGGCCACCCAGCTGGCAGCAGCAGACAGGCTGCAAGCCCCATCCCGCAGCAGCCGCTCCTCACAGAATGTCCTTCAGGGCTCTGCACTCAGGAGGGATTTTCAGTTACTTAATACAGATGAGAGTGGGGTTTGCTTCAGCATCTCAGAGCCTGAGCGAGCCCCTGGCACAGAGACAAGATGCACCCTTCAGATGGAGAAGGCTGGACCTGGGTACTGCTGGCACAGCAGGGAGGATAAGACACATCTGCCCATCTGTTCATAAAGCCCTGTGCCTGCATCTGGGTTTATAATCACTCTGTTCACTCAGCACAGCAGTGCAGGCAGACTTTGTATCAGCTCCCACTGATGGGGTGAAGGCCCCAGGAAGCCCCACGTGCTTTCAGACCTAAGCACTGCTTACAAACCACTGTCTTTTTTGCCAGTGGTGGTGCACAACCTCCTCCCCCACTGATGGAGGGGACTAACAACCCCAAATTCCCACTAGCAAAGAGGAACAAGACTTTCCCTTAGAACCTTTGCAAAGGCTGAGGTCTAGTAAGAGTCTGGGATCAGGCTCCCAAAGCTATTACAGTGTTTGTATTTGAGATGATCAGATAAAAAAGCCCTTCAAATGCGCAGCTTCCTCTCAGCTCCTCGGGTGATTTCTGGCAGACTGGAAAGGCCAGTCTCTTCCACCCTTGGCCATGGTTCCACTGAGCCCCAGGGGCTGACAGCAGCGGGGTGGGGGATGATCTGGGCTCCACATCACTTGTGTCACGTTCAGTGCTACAGAGTAGTGTGTCAAGCCCCAGCTCCAAGACCATGTTCAAGCAGTGATTCCTGCCTTTAATCATTTAGGAAATATAAACAAACATTTCTGTTTTTAATACCTGCAACACATTTCTAAGTTGTCCCAGCCGTCTGCAGCTGGAAAAACGTGCTGCTTGTCCCTTCACACACGTCCCCTCAATACGTATTTTTCTTGTAATTTCTTTTAAGAAGCCTAATTCCACAAACCTCATAAGCCTTCTTATGCTCAGAGTCAATCTCCACCTTTAGGGTCTCTGAAGGTTCACCTTCAGCCAGGTCAATGGCCACCACAGAGTCATTTCGATACTTCTTGCACAGCTCCACCACCTCTGGAGACCAGCCTGGAAGAGACAGCACCAGTATTTAGGAGGAAGCATTTTAATGAATAAATCCTGGTCCCATGACTAGAAGGCTAGGGCTATTTTCTTTGGTCTTTCCTAAAATTTGATGCTCCAAGAAGAAACTCCTAGAAAAGTCTGTCATCTTCAGGCAAATAAAAGCTGTCAACTGATCAGTCTGTCATCAAGGAAAGGGAAACCAAATGCATTCACCAGCTATAAAACTGCTCTTATCATGTTCTTCTGTTCACTTTGAGCAAGGGGAAAAAATAATAAAAAAATCCCCTCCAACCAGTGGTTGACTGCTGCAGTTGGCTTGAGGTAAGATGAACTGCATTGCCCTGAGGCTGTAACATGGTGCTTTGGAGAACTCCCTCAACTCACTCCTGAGCTTTCACCCCATCCCAGGCCGGGCATCTGTTGGATGTGTCGTGTTAAGGAGGAGTTTGGGCTAAGAGGGATCTCTGGGGTCCCTGTATAACAGTCAGCCATGCCCTGTTCTAGGGCATCCTCGACTTCCCCGGGGCAAGACGATGGATTCTACTTCTGGTGGGAAGGAGCTGAACTTTTATCTATTTGACATCAGTGAGAAAGAGAGTAACAAGTGGCTGACAATTACTTCAGAGCTCTCTCTGATCAGGACAGATAACGTCTGCTAAAGGAGGTTCATCTACCAGCTCACATAGCACTTAACCTTAGCAGAAAGGCCAAGAAACAGAGATAAACAGTAGTGTTAATAATTAACCGGCACCTGCTGTGTACATACAATCCCCAAACCATAGGAACACATAAGAGGATGTGTGCAATTTCATCTTCTTTTTGTTTTCATCAGTTCCCAACTCACTGGGTTAGAGCCACTATTTTACTACCAAGTTTAATTCAAGCTAGTTCTGGCTGGCATCTCTGCCTTTCTCTCAACATTCATTATTCACAGGGTAATTAATATCACAGGTGATATGCTGTGCAGCATATCCTGAACGTAGCACTAAAGACTCTTTACCAAGCACATTACTGG